AGCATCCATGTGTGAAGCGCTACACTACCTACTAGTGTGAGTGTGAAAATCACAAGTTTGAAGCTCTCAATTCACCAAGATTGCATCATGTAGCATCCATGTGTGAAGCGCTACACTACCTACTAGTGTGAGTGTGGAAAACACAAGTTTGAAGTTCCCAAATCACCAAGATTGCATCAAGAAGCATCTATGTGTGAAGCGTTACATTACCTACTAGTGTGAGTGTGAAAATCACAAGTTTGAAGCTTCCAAATCACCAAGATTAAGAAGTATCTAGGTTAGAATCGGAGTACTACCTCCTAGTCCATAAGTGAAAGATAAGAGTTTGGGTAACCCATGGAAGAGAGAAGGTGAAGTAAGAGAAGATGGAGGAGAAGAGGAGAGAGATGAGGAAGATGAGAATGGAGAAGAAGGGGAGGAAGGGAAAGAGAATGAAAGTAAGGAGGAGGAAGGAGGAGATGAAGATGGGAGAGAAGAGAAGGAAGAAGGAGGGAGTGAGGAGGAAGAAGAGGAAGAAGAAGGAGGAGAGGAAGAAGAAGAAGAAGAGAAAGAAGAAGAAGAAGAAGAAGAAGAAGAAGAAGAAGAAAATAAGAAGAAGAAGAGGAAGAAGAAGAAGAAGAAGATGAAGGTGAAGAAGCTTCTTCCTTCCTCTCACCTTGTTGATTCCTTGGTGTTGGTGTCCTGTTGATGAAGCTTTCTCTCCTTGCACAATCCTCTCTTGGCTATGGCTTCCTTCTTCTCCAAGCCCTTCTCTCCTCCTCCCTTGCTTTCTCTCAGGCTATGGCAAGCTCCCCCAGCTATGACTATGAAGTCCTCTCCTCTAGGAGGGCTAATGGGCCTCCTCTAGCCTCTCCTCCTTTCCTACACCCAGGAGGGATATGGCGGATCACCTTCCAAGTGTCTCTCCCACCATCACTATCCTCTAGAGTCCTCTCCACTACCTCCTAGTCTCCTCTAAGCTCTCCCACTAGCATGGGCTCGTCCCTCCTCACTCCAAGTGCAAAGATGCTCCTGTGGGCTCACTAAGGCAGCATGGGCACTCCTCATGCAAATGTAAGAGTGGCGGACTGCATCCTCAACTTATGTAGGCTGAAAACAGCAGTCCGGCCAGCCCATGAGCCTCCCCATGAGCCTTGAGGTGAACCGAGGTACCCCCAAGGCAAAATTTCCTCACTATGCCCTTCTGGAGGTACCTGGGCCTCATTTTGGCCAAGTGCATGCATTCCAAGTGGTTGGTACCAACTCGGACTGCCTCTTGGCCTTCCCCGGCCTCTTTTTCATTGCTCAAATGCTGCCCCCTAGGGTCCTAATACCCAAGGGGCAGCAATACTTGAAAGAAAAAAGCCTTGTGGGCCTTTTTCTCGATTTTTTCAAGTTTCGGCCTCTTTTGAGTACATCGGAGCATTTTTCCATATGGCGGCACATTTTCAGCCTTGGATCTGGCTGAGATCCAAGGCCAGCAATAATCCGAGCTACCCCCTGGTAGCCCTTGCTTCAATTTTGAGCCCCTAAGTCCAATTTTTCAATTTTTGGTGCATCTGGCTCTCTTTTTGGGTTAAATGCACTGTTTTGTCATTTTCCCTCTTTTATTTCTTTCCATTTTGGGCTGCCACCTCATTCCGGAGCTAGCCGTTTTGAGCTGGCCCACAAAAAATGGCTAGTTCCTCTCTACCATGAGATCTGATCTCAGATCCATGGCCCAAAAGAAAACCGGCCACTTCCTTTTTGCATTTTCTCTCATTTTCAGCTTTTTAATTCAGATTTTATTGAGATATGACCCTAAGGATCATATCTCTGCAATCCGGATTGCCCTCCCTCATTCTAGGAGGGATGAGGTCACTGTTGGGACCTGCCAGTCCCTACTGTGCAGGTCCCAATAGACCGACACACTCTCCTCCACTCTTTTCTCCCTTTTTGTCTCATTCTCCCTCCTTTTTCTCCCATTTTTCTTTCTTTTTCTTTTATTTCTGTTGTGACAAGTGTCAAACTGCTGTGCACCCTCTTTCTAGGCCCTAGGGCCTCATTCAAGGCCAGGTTCATGGCTGTTACTTGGCCGTTACATCTCGGATTCCAATAATGGCACCCCCATGTTCCTAGGGGGCTCCATTTTGTTCCCGTTTGCCCAATTTTGAGCCCCTTTTGCTCCGATTTTCTAAGGGCAGCCTTTTTCTCATGTTGAGCTTCTCAAGGCTCTATTTTCTTATGCCTTGCTAGTCCGAGATATCCCGGGCTGCTGGGCAGCCTTCCCAACACCCTTATTTCATTTTTCTTTTTCACATGGCTCTCCCTCTTGCTCCCACTAGTGGTGCTAATATTTTTCACCGTCTAGATCTTCGATCTCGACGGTCGATCTCGACGGTGCCGCTTGCTTGCACAATTATTCCTTGTATTTGCTCATGGTTCCCTTGGGACATTCCAAGTCCCTGCCATTTTCCTACACGCTAGCTGCATTTCTTTGTCCCGCTGGCGGTCTCGTTTTCCGATTTTTATTATTTGGACCCATTTGGTCCCCGACAACATCCCGGACGACGTCCCGTTTTTATTTCTTTGGGGCCCATTGCCCTTGGTGGTCCCATCATTTCTATATGTGTGCCAATTTTTCTAGACCGCGAGATCTCATCTCACGGTTGCCGTTTACCGTCTTTACTTGCACCTTGCCGAAATTGCTCCTTTCTTGTCTTTCCGGGCTTGCCGTAGTCCATTTCCCCTTGGCCTTGGCATCCTCATGCAGTCAGTAATTCTTCGGACTGCAGTCATGGCTGTTTTACACACCCACAGCCCCACAATTTGCCCCATGTTAAAAGAAAATGAAGCGTTAAATTTTCTAGTGCATCCGGGCTCAATATTGGCTCCGGATGCACCTAGAACATGTGTTTTCTCTCCCCCATGCAGTTTGTTGCAACTCGGACTGCAATGGGGGTTAATTCTTTAGCCCCAATGCCCCACAACTAGCCCCTAGTCAAAAGAAAAAAAAACGGTCAATTCCCAAGTGCATCCGGCCTTGATTTTGACTTCGAATGCACCTAAAACATCTGTTTCTCCTCATGCATGTATTACGTTTTAATCCGGTTGCAAGAGGCCTTGATTTTCTTTGATTTTCTCTGCAAAAATCAAAGAAAATCCAAGTCCTTTGTAACCGCCATATTCCAGAATGAATCTGGTCACGAATGAATCTCCCCAAGTGACCGTTTTTTACCGTTAAGGCCTTTTTCTCTTTTCTTTTCTTTTCTTTTCTTTTCTTTTCTTTTCTTGTCTCCTCCTTTTTTGGACAGTAGGGACCTGCCAGTCCCTACCTATGGCAGTCCCTACTGACGGCCAACTCACTCACTCCCTCTCACTCTTTTTGTCTTATTCTCCCCCATTTTCTGTTCTTTTCTTTTTTTTTTCTAGCATGCCAAGTATCAAGTGGCCGTTAAGGCCCTTTTCTAGCCTCTTCCTCTTAGTTTTGGCCCTCCCTATGCCCAAGGTGCAGCCCGTTATTTCTCGGGCTGCAATAATGGCCTTCCCATGCCCATGGGAGCCTCCTTTTACTCCTTTACTTCTCCCACAATGGTCCCTCTTACTCCGATTTTGTCCCGGAGGGCTATTTCTCACATGGGGTCTTATTTGACTCTATTTTCTTGGGGGAGGCTGATCCAAGATTTTTCGGATTGCTCCCATGCTTCCCACTTCAGTTTTCTTTACTTTTCCTTTTCCTTTTGGCCTTCCCATTTGTCATCACTAGTACTTGCACTAGTGGTGTTAATATTCTTGGCCGTCAAGATGTCGATCTTGACGGTGCACCTTGCATTTATTATTTTTCCTTCATGCGCTGTCGTCGTTTCTTCTTGGGACTCTCACATGTCCCCGACACTTGTCCCGTCGGTGGTCCCCGACACTTAGTCCCGTCGGTGGTGCCCGATACTTAGTCCCGCCGGTGGTCCCCGACACTTAGTCCCGTCGGTGGTCCCCGACACTTAGTCCCGCCGGTGGTCCCCGACACTTAGTCCCGTCGGCGGCCCCCGACACATTTCGCCGCGGACACCATTATTTTTACTTAATCTCACGTGGTCCCGGGTGCCTTTCCCCGAGGTGTCCCACGCCCCTTGGTCGTCTTGTCGCCCCATAGCGACCTCTCTCCTTAGTCTTTCCTCCCGCCTTGTGTGTGCCGATCTTTTATGTTGTGGGCCTTCGCTCCGAAACTCCCATAGGTGGCCCCCATGTTAGCCCCTCATTTCCTGGCTTCCCGCGGCTTCTGGCCGCCCATCCCTCGACTTCCTCATTCCCTTATTGCTGTCGCGCTGCAATTGCTAGTTCAAAGAGCCCTTTGGTCTTAGTCTTATTGCATTCTGATGACCCTCCCGACCTCCTGCTATGTTCTATGTGCCCCTGTTCTTGCGCTCGCTTGCTTGCCGCCGCTAGTTCTTTCCTCCTGTGGTTCTCTCCTCAGGACATCACTCCCTTCTGCGGCCTAATCCTTTGTCTTTTTCCTCTCCTGCTTCCTCACTCCAGATTTCTCTGTTGTGCACAAATTATCCGTATTCAATCTCTCGAGTGATGGAAAGTAATTCGGGACCCACCAGTCCCGACACATTCCCCCCACTCATTCGCGATATCCTCATCGCGTACCAATCTCTTGTTAGTGGATTTTGGAGGGATAGACGGGGGAGGAGGATGAGATGTTATGGGTGGTTAGTTTGCCAGGGTCCGTTTTGTTCTTTTTCCATTTCTTTCTCAAGGTTTTCCTTAGCTTCCGTCCCTTGGGATGGAGGAGGGTATGGGGGAGTGAAAGGTTCTACAACTTAGACCTGGTTGCTCATTTCTGTCATAGCTCTGCCTCTTGATCTTTTCCTCAATTGAGATGCAAACTTCCTCTTCAGTCAACTCTGTACACCAAGCAGGGCAACCCATAATTCTTTCAATTTCAGTAACATGAAGCGGACGAAGCTCTCCTTGCTTCATGCATTTAACTACTGGCATGCTGACTTTATTCCCAGGGCGACAATTTGTTGTCATAACACACTTGGTTTTCTCATTTTATGCCTTGGTTTTGTTGATATTAAATTGTATGCAAGTTTTCGGATGCAACTCAACGTCAGGCATTTGCTCCGGAAGGGGGATGTTCGTCCAGTACAACCGCCGCCTTTGCTGTGGTGATACCCACTTCGAATTAGTGAGTCCAGGCACAAGTCCCCCTAAGTGCTTCGTAATCTCAAATCTGTCTTCCCATTTCATTGAGAAAACATTTTGGATTTGTCTCATTCATTATTCTTAGAGTCATAAAAAAAATAATCTACTTTTCGGTCCGTGCAATCCATGTTTTCCCTTTACCGTTCCCCGACGTTCAGGCTTTGTCAAATCCACATGCATCTCCCCCGGGTCCTTTCGCCCGACTTTCCTCAGGTCCTGCCAATTTTGCATTCATGTCACTCTTTGTTCTTTCTTGTTCCTTGCTCATTTTTAACTTTTTCATGCATGCTGCCCAGTTTATCCGTTGTGCATCCCTATTTCCAGACCCCTTGTCAGACATTTTTCTCAGACTCATACAAACCAAATACTCATCTATTTCTCTCCTGGACATCTTGCCAGGTCTCTCCTCAAGCCCATGCGGAGTCATTCACACATCTTTTCCTCAGCTGGACACCTTGCCAGGCCTTTTCTCATTTTCCTCAGCTGGACACCTTGCCAGGCCTTTTCTCAAGCTTATGCAACGTCAATTGCCAAACCTCTTCTCAAGCCTGCGCAAAGTCAATTACTTATCCTTTCTTTTCTTCTGAACATCTTGCCAGACCTTTTCTCAAACCTGCGCAAAGTCAATTACTCATTCATTCATTTCTTCTGGACATCTTGTCAGGCCTTTTCTCAAGCTCATGCAATGTTAATTATTCATCCGTTTCTCTTTTGGACATCTTGCCAGACCTTTTCTTAAACCTGCGCAAAGTCAATTACTCATCCATCCTTACGCTTATGGTATCCTTCTCTTTTGCATGTTTTTTCTTCGGTAGATGGCACACCTTCCCCCCACTCCAAATGCGATGTCCCCATCGTACGACTAGTTCTCACTCGGAGGTACGTAACCTTTGACCCACCAACGAGTAGGCGGATGCCGACCCATCAGCCCCAAAAAGGAAGGGTGATTAGTCCTCCCCCTGCTGATAACTCACCTCATCCCCTTACTCCGTCCGACCTTTTGCCGCTTACGAGACGGACGTCATTACTGAGCTACCTCCTCACATCTGGAAGGCAGGTCCAGTCCAAGCCTCCCAGGACCCCTTCTTGCCGTAAGGGCTTCCTCGCGAATCGTTCCTCCCGAGTGGTGTTTTCTTGGATCCAGCCTCTTTCTTTCAAGAGAGTTAGGGCTCTCAATTAGTCCACGAGTGCAGTTACGAAGACCTCGCAATTAGTCCCGAAGCGGTTGTAATGCTCCGGCGGGGCGGTGTCAATGCCCCGTGGTGGTTGTGGCTTCCACCCGGKACCACGCCCMACTCCTCCCTCTGGACAGTGCTGCTCAACTTAACGCGAACCGCCGTGGTCCATTCCAAGCGGCCATGCCCCCCCTCAACGACGTGGCGTGTGGTTGGGGAAAACAAAAGAGACTAGAAAAAAGAATGGCTCTCGCGCCCATTTGGTTCCCTCACCCTTTGACGTTTAGGCGTTCAACACGAGGCGCAATTTGAACTTCCCGACTAGAGCTCGTTGTCGAGGTCAGTTCCGGACGTCCCGCACCGATCCAAGAGGTAGGTGCCTTGGTCCTTTAACCCTCAGCCTCTTACAAGAGGAACAGGTCGCGCTGAGACTTTTTTCCTTACAGGGATAGAGGTCTTGGGGTCGCGGTGCGAGCACCAGTATCCCCCCTCTTGCTGAGGCCAAAGACTAGAAAAAGAGAAAATTCATTTCAAGGCTATTTCCAAGTCCATTTCAAGTTGCCTAGGGTCCCCTGCCTATGCAATGCAATATTCAATCCTCAATCATTCAATCCAATGCTATTTCCAAGGCTGATTCTCATGGCAGGTCTGACAGCCTCTTATCAACAAGGCCACCCCCATGACCGGTCTGGCGGTCATTCTCTCAATAGCCATTTCTTAAGACTGACCCTTCCGCTCACTCAATCCTCAGTTTTCTCATTCCTCAACACCCAATCTCTGTGACCGTCCCAACGGCCCCTGCCCCTCTTGGCTTTAAGGTTCCGCCTCTTTTATTCACATCTTTCTCCCGCCTCCTTGGCAATTTTCAGTGGCCGACCCACCGACCTTTTCCATTTCCTCCATTCAACTCATTGACTATTTCAACAACCGACCCACCGGCTTTTTCGACCTCTCTCATCCATCCTTTGGTTATTTTAATGACCGACCCACCGGCCTTTTCCATCTCTCTCATTCATCCCATTGGCTATTTCAATGACCGACCCACCGACCTTTTCCATCTCTCTCATTCATCCCATTGGCTATTTCAATGACCGACCCACCGACCTTTTCCATCTCTCTCATTCATCCCATTGGCTATTACAATGACCGACCCACCGACCTTTTCCATCTCTCTCATTCATTGGCTATTTCAATGACCGACCCACCGGCTTTTTCCATCTCTTATTGCTCATTCAAACTCATCCTCAATCAACCTTTCTCAATCAAATATGCAGAGGACCCCAGTGCCTATCTCAAAAGGAATGACCCTTGTCAGGGGCCATTCCCGAACAACCTGGTTAGGGTCGTTCTTTTCCATTTTCAAGTCGAACAACCTGGTTAGGGCCATTCATTTCCATTCTCAAGTCGAATAGCCTGGTTAGGGTCATTCCTCAGGCTTTCCATTCTCAAGTCGAACAGCCTGGTTAGGGCCATTCCTTTTCATTCTCAATGTTAGTACCCGAGGGGGTGAGCCTCGAGGTTACGGATCTCATTTCTGTCTTGGAGGTTAGAAGGTGGCCATCTCATTTTTTGCGTGTTGTTCTCTCTCTTCCATTTCTCATAGTAATGTACCATCCATTCCATTTCTCATAGTAATGTACCATCCATTCAATTTCTCACAGTAATGTACCATCGATGCGTACATCCGACTTAGCGTCTAGCACTCGAGTTGGGGCTTGTGACCCCAAGCAGCACTAGCCCACCCGACCGTTCATCCATAACAAAAGACAAAGGTGCCTCTTCCTTTGATGTCTCTAGCAGGATCGAGACCGGTTTTGCTTTCTTCCCTACCGGCTTGTACTTTCGAACACTTCCTTCCGGGATCTTTCTCATAAAAAATGAACAGTCAAAATTGCCCCCGTCGCCTCTACGACTCGTGGTTGAATACTAACTAGTTTCTCATTCAGGCAACATCCCTTTTGCACCATTCTTTCGAACTTGGCCAAGGCTGCCGAATCCATTCCTACCTTGTGGTATCTGAGGGTCTTAATGAGTTGCAATAGATCGGGGATCTCGAGTGCGATTTCCGGCACGTCTATGCGTACTTCCTTCCGTTTGGGCAGGCTAACACCAAGTTCGACCTCTGACCTCTTTTCCGCTACCATAACACCTAGGACCTCGTCCTCCTGCCTCCTCTTCTTTTGGGGCAGGCCCATCTTGATCCACTCCTTCTTGTTGAATGCTTCCTCAATCATGATTTCTACCATTTCTCTCATACCCTCCATCCGTGCGAAAACCCCTTTTCGCGTGCTATCCTCGAACGACGGCGACCATGTTGCCAATTTCCCCTTCGGGGGGTCTCCTCCCGTTCCAAGGAGTCGAAAGAGCTCTCCCCGGCCGGTCACAGGGTCCTATGTCTACCATGTATGAGCCATCGTGCAAGTGCATGCCTATCATCTCCACGTTCGCGCACCACGGTCTCCCGAGGATTATGTCGTGGTTCATCTCCTCCATTACGGTCATCCGCTGAAACGACCAGATGGATTCCCTGACCCCTGCCTTTATAGCATACTTCATGACGTACCCAGCGAACGGGATTTCCCCGCCAGCTCCCCGGATGCTCCCTGTTACTTCCTTGTTTACCGTACATCCTGTGATCGTTGCGAAATCTATTCTTATGAGAGTGATTTCTGCTCCCCCGTCTACTAATGCGTCGGTATGATGAGTCCCGATCTGGATTTTCAGTTTCCCTACGGGCAGTGCATGAAAGCTAAGCTTCGTCCCGGGTGGCGATCTCATGACTTCGCCGCCCTCTCGGTCGGGCAAGCTCAAACGAATGTCTGCAAAGGCCTTTTCGAGATCCTCCAAGTCCCCGTTGTCAGGCGGCCACAAGCAGTGCGCCGCCTGAAATCTGCGGCTTTGGGACTCAGGCTCAAGGACAAGTCCGCGTTTTGTCGGTGCTCCGGGTTGACCGGGCAGCAAAAATTAGGGGAGCTCACGGCACCCCTGGTTTTGGGCGCGCTGAACTTTGCGAGCAACCCTAAAAGACGACGAGATGAGTGGCCGCACTAGGCGCGACCGGGGCTGAGATGAAGCCTCAAATTTTTGCTCATTTTAGTACCATAATTAAAGATGGGAAAAAGGGATTACGACCAGTAGGGGAGAAGGGAAAAACATAATATCCCTTAATTTTTATTATTATTATTATTATTTTTTTTACGACATTTAATTCAAAGGGGAAAACCCTTGTTATTTTACGTTCCCGACAAAGAAATTAAGAACAAAAGAAAAGATTAAAAAAAAAAAAAAAAGGATAAAAGAGGAAAGAAACAAAAGGAATTCGGCCATTTATTTAAATTTTCTCGGAATTTTATTTGGGGATCTTGCGGTTAATTTATTATTTCCAACAATAGAATTAAAAGAGGGGGAGAATGATGAAAAATGATAAAAGGGACGGGAACCCATGATTATTAGGAGATTGGCCTAATTTCGCCTCGATTACCCGCCGTTAGCTCTGACCCCGGATTGAACATTTTCCACGAATTTTAACAGTGTTCAATACTGCCGATGGCCGAGGTTCCCTGCGTCGCTTTCGCTGGTTTGCTTGATTACTAAACACTACCGTTGTTCGGACGTTCTGAGAGCGAGAGACGCATGGACAGGTGCTACCTTGGGTCGACCATGGTGTTTGGTTCGGTACGGATATGAGGCTTGTTACGGAGTGGCTACACGGTGTCTGACGTGCTTCAGGTACGGTATGGGCTGGGTGACACCTGTTTCACTACGGGGACTTATTTTCAGGTTTGGGACAGCTGCGATGATTTATTCTCAGGGTCGGGGCCACTATGACAGTTATTCCAGGTTTGGGACCTTGGCGGCAGTTTGTTTTCAGGTCCGGAGACGTTGCGGCGTCCTATATCAGGTTCGGGACAAGTACGAAATAATCATGGCATGGTTGTACGGGTTCGGCGTCCGCGTGGCACGGCAGCCCGGTATTGGATTTCGGGTTTGATCAGGATCGGTGACATCGCGTTGTTTCGTTTCAGGTTCGACGCCCTCACGGAGATTTATTTCAGGTTCGGAACCTCTGCGGTGATTTATTTTCAGATCTCCAGTCACTGCAGCGGTATATTTTTCAGATTCAGAACCGGTGCGGCGGTCAATTTTCTGGTCCGAGGCCTCTACGTTGTATCAATCCAGGCCGGGAACCGTTGGGACAATTTATTTCAGGTTCGGTTTGAGACCGGTTACGACACGGGGCAAGCCATGGCAATTCTAGGCTCGGCGCAGTCCGAACTGGTTCGGGGCTGGTATGGAGTGGCAAAGTTGGCCAGAGAACAGGGCGGACTTTCTTGCCATTGGTACTGCGATGGTCTGACGTGATATAGATAACTCATGCGATTGTTTGCGGGGTCACCGATTGGGCTGTGAGTCTTGGGTAGCTTGGTCCCCCTGCTGGGGTCGAATGCTCAGGCCATCTGCGGAGCTAATGTTATGCCTGCGGGGTTCCTAGTGAAACCCCTGAAGCATGGGCATTTCGGCGATAATGTGAACTGAATTTATCAACCCGTGCCCCTGTGCTCGTGAACCCGAGCGTGTGGCCTGTGGCAGCAAAGGCGTAGGGAGATACAGGCAGGGCCGGGAATCCGAAGGCACGGTGGACTCGACACGCCAGAAGATATAGGAGGAAGACCCGACATTGAAAGGGGGGGGCATGCCAGGCGTACCCGGCGCACCTCAGACTCGAGCTGCAGTGAGCCGGGAGGAGTTCGCGGCGAGGCGGTTACAGGAGAGGCAGAGCGGGCAAGACGTACTCAGCCCACCCCGTGTCTGAGTTCAGGCGGTCAAACAAGCAGGAAGAGGGACAACGCGAGGGAGCGGGCCGAACTAGCCCTCTCGAGTTCGTCTGCGGAGAAGACGGTAAGAAGAGCAGTGCGTGCTTGGCAAGCTGAGCGCGAGGCAATCTCACCATCAACTCGTTTCTCACAGACCTACCAGCTGGAAACTGCGATGTAATCCGAGGGAATTGAGACGAGAGCTCGAGCCGAGAGAGCTTACCCAGGGGTAACCTGACAGTGCAAGTGGCGAGTGCGCTTGGCGTGCACGGTTATCATGAGGAAGGGTGAGAGAGCGAAAGAGTTAGAGTGAGTGAGTGCTGCTGTCAGTAAGAGAGAGTGAGTGCTGCTGTCAGTAAGAGAGAGTGAGTGCTGCTGTCAGTTAGAGTGAGTGAGTGTTGCTGTCAGTAAGAGAGAGTGAGTGCTGCTGTCAGTAAGAGAGAGTGAGTGTTGCTGTCAGTGAGAGAGAGTGAGTGCTGCTGTCAGTTAGAGAGAGTGAGTGCTGCTGAGAGTGAGAGTGAGAGAGAGCGTCCACATAAGAAAACTGGCGAGAGAGAGGAGAATGTCAGGGGACACTAGCAAACGAGGGAGTGAGGACAGTGGTGGCCTTACTATTTACATGGACCTGACCGTAACAGTAGCCATGTTCATCCGAGTGTGAGCAATCATGATCATGAGGAGAGGAGTGACAATGAAGTCACGGCGAGAAGTGAGTTGGCTGTGATCATACACGTTTGTGCAACTGCTCTGAGTGCAGAGAGGCACGCGATTATGGACAATCATCTGAGCTACAAGCGCTCTGCAAGAGGGCTGCACTCTACTACTCCGCTGATTGGCTGAAATGACTTATTTATTTATTTATTTATTTTGAAATATTTGAAAGTCAGTATCCTGTGATACTGGAGTACAGGCAAGCATCAATCACGGATAATCATCTAAGTTGCAAGTGCCAGGCGCGAGGGCTACACCACACCGCTCCCGTGATTAACTGAAAGGGCGGTNGCTACACCACACCGCTCCCGTGATTAACTGAAAGGGCGGTTTATGGATTTATTTATTTTTGAAATATTTTTAAATCAGTAATCCCTTGATAGTGACGCACGATCAGACACCCAATCACGGACAGATGTCTGACTTTCAAGCGTCCAGCGAGAAGGCCGCACTCTATCACTCCGCTGATTCTATGAAAATGACATTTATTGAGAGTCAGAGAGCAAATAAGGGAGACAGAGGGATGAGGGATGAGTGTGTGATCTGGATCAAGGCGCGCGCGCGCGCGCGAGAGAGAGAGAGAGAGAGAGAGAGAGAGAGAGAAAGTGAGAGAGAGTGAGAGAGAGTGCACAGCCTGAGGGAAAATGAGAGCGAGAGAAAGAGAGAGAGGTTGAGAGAGACAGTGTACTGAGAAGGAGGGAGTGCGCTTGTGTGTGAGAGTGAAAACAAAAGAGAATGAGTGCGGCGCTACCTCCAGACCAGATCTGCGGTGAGAGAACGCTCGGGAAAACACACGGGGGACCGTGAACTCCAAGTCACGAACGGGATTAGCCATGCGGCAGTGGACAGGACGAGACGGCTTCCTGAACAACGTTCCCCTTCTGGGAAGGGCACACAACRAAAGACWATCAAGGCAGAGCCGCGACCATCAATYAAATGGGTAACACCAATTGACGCATGGGCGACTGATAATGCATCGGAGTCCAATCAAGCACCGTGGACTGATATCGGGCGGTAATCCAAAGTCGGGTTCTGTGCCCCAGCCAATGCACGAAGGGGAATTCCCCTCCCATCCCATCAAGGAGAAATGACGTGCAGATCATAGTGACTTCCAAAAGAGCTGATTGGAAATTGGAGCTATATTTGCCGTAAGATTCACTGTTTGTTTCTTTTTGTCCTTCTTGAAATCCCATTTCCCGTCGGGGCTTGCTGAGGTAAGGCAGTCTACTGCCTGTTCCTTTCCCGTGGTGGCGATCAGATACATGTCACGCGAGCAAGCCTGTCCAGAGGAAAGCGGGAGGTCTAGGGAGAGGGGTCACGTGAATCTGAGAGTACGAGGCGGCAAGCCGAGAGAGAGGATGTACAGGTGAGGGAGGAGTCACCCGCTATGAAAGGGGATGGAAGATCCTCCTTCAATATGAGAATCAGAGTGACATCAAGAGCATTTCGTGCCCGACAGATGGCAACCGGCAGTGCTCATGAGAAAAGGGAATTTCACGGAAGTTTTGAACGTGATCTTAGTTCAATGTTCGAAAGTTTTCACACATAGTAGCAATTGACGATCGGTTTTCACACGYTTCAGGGAGACTTCAACGCAAAAGACTTCACCGTCCGGATTTTTAATGCATCAACGTTTGGACATCACGGTGGGAGGTAAGACAGCGTCCACTCGTGTCTAAAAGCGGTAAATTGGGTTACTTGCGTATTATTCAGACAACAAAGACAGAACTGGTCATATTGTGTACCTCCTTTAGAGATTAACCTGAGAGTTACCAGGAGGGCATGTTTGATAGGCAGACACACTGTCAGTTTATCTCTAGTTAACAATTCTGTAAAACTGTATGCACTTAACTCATAGATGTTAAAGGGAGGTTTCTTCTCAAATTACACTCAACTCCTGCGAGGGTCGTGCATTGAAGGTAAAACTCCTCAAGTTGAGAGTCTATCTGTGGCGATTAATCAAATTCCAGTTATGCCTCGGAGTTGGTAACAGATTCTGAATTACCCCCAACAGTAAGGGGAGGCTGCGAGTTAGTCACCGTCAACGGAAAATTTTGCGGATGCCCCCTCCTGCAGTCCTTCATATATCTAGACTGTATCCGATATTTGTGCGAATCTCATATCTGTGGGTTTGAGCGGTCTTTTTATATTTTATTTTTATATTGACTGATCGTATGAACCTTCATACATAGCAAAGCATGTGACAGGCAGAGCAAAACTCTATCATCCTGTTGGTTGCTGAAGACCTCTGAAGCGGGCACGGCGGGTGACAGACGCCGCAGCCCCTGGCTTCAGCGAACGAGCAGGCGCCCCTCACCGGGTTACCCCCACACCGTGACTCCTCTGAAGGTTAGCCACTTCTTGCGGAGCTTCCTCCTCCCTCTCCCCTTCTGGTAATTCGGGGTTGTCGCCTATTTCTACTCGCCTTCGAGTTAACAGTTGTCTGAGCCCTTTGAGCAACTTAGGGTTAGCCTGCAGCATGGTCTGAAAAGACACCAACACCATGGTTCCTAGTAACTTGCTAATGGTGTCGTCAAGCTCAGGCAAGGTTAAGATCGGGATTTGATACCGAAACTTCTTCTTAGCGGCGGTAGCCTTGTCCGCAGGCTCCTCTTCCCTAGGCTTCCTATAGACTTTCTCTGGTTCCTCGGCCTCAGGCTCTGCCTGGGGTTCGGAGCTTCCAGCGACCTCCTCCATAATGGTGTCACGGTTAATCTTTTTCCTGGCCGTTCCCAGTCGAGTGGTTGCGTTCACCCTATCACGTCCGTCGCTTTCCAAAATAAAGTTGGCCTGCGGTCGGCGCCCCCGGAGCTGATCCCAGATGATCTCGCCCACCGGTTCGACTTCTGCGGCTGTTATTTCTAGACCGTTGAGCATGATAATGGCTCGCCGCATCCCTCCTGGTGAGTTCCAGTTCACCCGTTCCCTTTGTGGTCTAAATATCTCCCCCTTTAATGACCTGGTACACCTTCTTTTCAGAATATCATGGTTGAGTTTGGGCATGCGCGCACATAATGTCCTATCGTGGTGCAATACTTGCATTGCTCGTTAGCAGGATCTCTCCGTCCGAATCCCCGGTTTGCTACACCTGGCGGGACCACAGCTTCCTGGGGAGAGAGGGCATGTAGGGATACTTGCGCTTGCATTACCAGTAGCGCGCCTTCCATCCTTTCAGTCTTATTGTCGACCCCGTGCACCCGTTCATGTAGACTTTCAATCCCCTTCTTTACCTCGTCGCCCGTCCTACCGGTCAGATCTATGATCTCTCCTTCCTTGAGCAAGGCCAACGTCTCCGTTACTACCATTTTCTCAGCCAGATCTGTTACCGTGCTAAAATCAACATCCTGCGTGTTTACGAACTTGCTCGTCTGTTGGTAAGCTGACAGGATCTTGTCTTTGTCGAACTCGGAGTACTGCCTGAGGAAATATTTGCTCATTATCCGGTCCGTGACCCCGGGGATCCTTAGTGCTACCAGAGTAAATTCCCGTAGGAAATCATTGTACGTTGCGAAGTTCTTCCTCTGAACTGCCGCTAGGTCGGCCTCCGTTGCCATTTTCTCTGCTGCTAGGTACTTCCTCATCATCACATCTCGGGTCTCCTTCCAAGACCGGCTTGCGGCTACAATAGCCATCATGTCGCGTCCTAGGCTTAACGACACATGCTGTCCTAGATGGTCCATCTTTTCCTCCTCGGTCCACTTTAGTAACGCAGTTAGGTTCTCGTAGTCGTTTAGGAACTCCATGACGTTTGCTCCATCGAAAGTCAACTTTTTCTTGGCGTCTGCCAGATAGCCTTGATTTTTGTTTAGTGCTCGCGCGAGGGACGACATTATTTTCTTAAGGCCGCCCTCGGAGCTGCTGGCCTCGCCTGACACACTGTTATCCGGACTTTCCTTGCCGACCTTCTGTCCCTCTCTGGTTTTCATAGTTCCTTCCGGGTCAAACCATCCCAACACTCTTTCCCTAAGGCTCCAAAGTCCTTCGCATCCTCGCGCTACTGCTGACGTGATCGGCAAGCGGCTAGCCCTACTGCCCATGGCTGCCGGAGTCGTAGCCTTTTCCGCTTCCATCCCCGGAGAGTTCTCTCTCTCTTTCCTTCTCTTGCTCGGCGTTCCCCCACGGTTACTACCTTTATCCCCTTGTCCAGTCCCACCTTGGCTGGCTTTCCGTTCGTCCCGGGGTTCCACCTGCAGAGGACCTTCGTCGTTCCCAGTCATCATTTCCTCAATCAGTCTTGCCTTGTATTCCGCGGTCCTTTTGTCTATCTCGGCTAGTTTGCGCCTCGTGTCTGTGACCCTTACTTTCTTAGGCATGGCTCCTTCCGAGTTTCGGGGACTTGTCCTATCCTTATTTCTGCCTTCCTTGGTCCCCTGGGTCCCTTGCCTGCTTCCCCCGGCTTTCCTCGAGCTTTCTCCTGTGGAGATTTTCTTCCGGTTTCCTTTGGTACCATCCGGATTTATCGATTCTCTGTCCTTCTGCACCCCTTCGCTTTGCGCGGCACTGCCTTCTAAGCCTGGTTCTCCTTCACTCTTACGATTATCTGTCTCCTCCTCCGTTGCCATTTTGCCTAGTTCTGCATAAGCCAAAGAATTCCCAGGACATACGCAATGCGAGGTTTTTAGGTTCCCTAGGCTCCCAACTCTGTTGGCTTATCTTTATAGTCTCCTTTCCTATCTCCGTTTCCTGATTGCCCTTCCTTAAGGAGGAGCCACGACTGGCCCTGCCGCCCAACCGAGCTATGAACGTGACTGGGCTTCCTTTATCACAAGCTCGTTTGTAGTGCCCTTGTCCCGTCGACCGACGCGAGGGAGTCGGGGTTAGGCATCCTGCTAGGGGAAGTCTTCCCGAGCAACGTTTCCCGTTTTTGACCTTCAGGGTTATGGTCAATCATTAGGAGTCTGCCCCCCCCCCCCCTTTTTCTTTGTTTTTCTAGTGGGTTTTTAGCCATCCAGGTCCGAGACCCCTTTCCTATTCCTATCGGTGAACTTCCATACGCAGCGAACTATACTCGATCTGCCCTATTGACCCGCCTGCGGATGCTAATCCCGCTCTCGCCCTCGCGGCTCTTCTGGTTCGGTAGGCTCCTCGAATAGTTGAGTCACCCCCGTTAGATGATTCTCCCCTATCTTGATTTCCCTTTGGATTTTGCGTTCGCACCCTGTCCAGTCTAGCCGGGGCGCACAAAACATCAGGATGTGGATGACTTCTAGTAACTCGTGGACCCTGTTTTCCCAGAACGGTCCATGCTCCACAGCGACATTGTAGAACATCCCAATGGTAGGGGAGGGAAAGTGGCCTGCCCAAACTATCGCTGAGTCTGCCAGCTCCCGTACCCTTGCGAGGCTTCCGAAGACGAGGTCTATCATAAAACGGGGCACTCGGCATCTCAGCGGTATGGTCGGTGCCCTGAACTCCCTCCAACCTCCCATCTCCACCCGGGCTAGCAAACCCAAGTTCCTTCTTCCCCTGACCGAATGTCCTATCCGGGTCAACGTCCGGGCGACCCTTTGAAAGACCGATGTCAGCTCGTGACCTTGTGCTATCTCTACCCCCAACGAATGCCAACCGATCTCAGGCAGATACATGGTCCCAGTAACCTCCAGATTGGAGAATAGATCATCTCCGGGTCCTCGGTTGAGTCTCATCCCTGTCCACCGACATTCTACCAACATGAAGGCGGCGTCCCTTCCCAAAGTCACGGCCCGCCATTCTACGTCGAACCTCCGATAGGTAGAACTCGACGGGAGGGATACTTCCCATCGCCCACCGTTGTTCCAGGGCGGTCCGGGGTACCGGGGCTGGCGTTCCATTCGCACACGGGGCTGGCGTTCCACTCACTCACGTCTTGCTGCCATTGTTACTTTGGTGGTTTCCTGCATAGTCCACATAGAAAGGGTTACAACCAATCTTCAGAATCCGCCCACCTACTGTCTCCCTTGCCCTTCGTGTTTTCATTTTCTCTTTTCTAGTCCCAACTATCCCTCTATACCCCCGGGAGCAGTAGCCTCCTCTTGCTGTTCGTACAGCTGGTAGAAATCATCTATGTAGGTCGCGCCCCGACCTACCTCTCGTCGGATGACTCTCCACATGGTCTCATCGCTTATTTGTGGGAATCCTGACATAGTATTTACCGCAGCTCGTAGAATGCAAAGCACCTCGCGCCCTTGTTCGTCCCCGAAAGGCCCCATCTCTAGGAAGGCCCGATAGTATTCTCGATACCTTAATGCTTCGTCAAAATTTAGCCTAGTTACGGCAGTCACCGCCTGCTCCACTCGTTCTATGCCTCCCATTCGTCTTAGCAGGAAGGGTGGTAGACTCATCCGTACGACCTCATTTGGCAGCTCAAAAACCCCTGATGTGGCGACTTTTACCTCAACTGTCACGTCATCTCGTTTCGGATCTGCAAACTCAAACCCCTCCCGCCAAGTCGCTTGCCATGCCCCTTCGAACATTCGCACGGGGTCCTCCCCGGAAGCCAAAGCAATCCCAAAGGTCCGCCATCCCTCTTCCGACAGGTGTAAGGATCCCGTCGCATGTACACGCTCTGGGCGGTTCAAGTCTACGCCCCCGAACTCCCCTCTCACCCGCCATTCCAGCTTCACTACTAGCCTACTAGGTACGCCGTATCTTCCACCAACTCTACCCCCACCCAGTCCATTACCGGATTGCCTACCATATTTCTTGCCGGCAGGCTTATTTCGACCCTGCCCTCTGATATTCTTGGTGGCAGGATCCCACGAGGTCTATCCGCCCAGAACGTCATTCGTCGGGCCATCTCGCAATGTCCCCTTTCCTGCTTTCTTAGTCTGATCGCTGCACCCACCGAGATTCCATGCCTTTCGTGTTTTAGTCTTTCAACCTTCCCTGCTTATCGTACACTGGTTCTTGCCGCTATCCCCAACTCATGCACGTTCAATTCTACCCCTCCCCCCCCATTTTCCAGTTGTTGTCACTTCCCCCTTGTTTCGATCCTTATGCACCCTCTACAGCCTAATGTACACACTCTCTTTCTTATGTTACACCTCATTTCACAAACACCCTCCATACTCAGGCCTTTTTGCGGTGTTCGATCCCTTGGCCTCATTTAGTCGAACCACAGTACCTCAAATAGTTTAAGGACATCGTCTACGTAAGAAGGTGCAGCCGCCGTCTGCCGGCTAACTATGGCGTCCCAAGACTCCGCCTCTACCTCTAGGCGGTCATACCTGCCTATTCTTAGGATGATGATGACTTCCTTGGCTTTATCTCCATAGAAGGGCCCATATTTCAATGAGAGCCTACAGAAGTCCTCAGTCAACCAGACACACTCTATATGCACCTTTCTCATGGAGTCGGTTACTTCTAAAATGTGCTCAAACCCCCCAAACCACTCGACTATGAATTCCGGTACCCAAGCCGTTATCCGTAGACTTGGAGGTTTGAGTTCCTTTCATCCTCCCATCACAACTCTGCTATTTACTTCGTCCCATCCCTCGTTGGCGAACAGCTTGCCTGCCTTTCAGGTTCGGGCCTCTGCATCCCCTAGAAGCCACATCGGGTCATGTCCCATTGCTATCATGGTGCAAAACAGGTCTCATCCATCCTCGGAAAAGACAATCGTTCCGACTGACTCTACCTTGCCTTCTGCTGTATCATCCCAACCTTCCTCTTCCCTTATCGGGTTCCAAATCCACTCTATCCATACATATGACAAGTCCCGAGCAACCTCAAACCCAATCCAGTCGCACGTGGTCCCTCTCCATCCGTTCCCTGTTGGTATAGGCATTTCTATTCTTCCTCTGAGTCGTCGTGGTTCCCAACCTTTGAAGGGGTATTCCATCATCCTTTCTTCTCTAGTCATCTTTCCCTTTCCTGCACAATACCAGGCCACCAGTCCTTCCTAAGTTAAGTTTCCCCACCCCTCTCAGAACTCCCAGTCCTCTATCTTTTCATCTTCGTCTTCATCACTGAATTCATCACTGAAGTCGTCCTCCTCGTTGTATACCAACTCCCTTACCCCATTTAGAAATGTCTCCCCGATTGCCATATTCCTGTAGACTATCCCCCAATGCACAACGCTAGGGACAAATATATTGTCTATGCTAAGGCAGTTTAGTATCTCGGCCAACTCCTCCGCCCAGTTCCCCTCGAACGGCCCCATTTCTACCGATAACCGAAAAAAATATTGCCTAGCGCATTGGTATAGCCCGAGGTTCGTCATGGACTGGCATATCCGTACTAGCATGCTCCGGGTTCCGAAAACCGCATCCATTAGGAAGGAGGGCAGCACACATCGCATGGTTCTTACGATTCGCCTCATGCTTCCTCTATCCCCAAGTTTCACCCGTACGTCTACCTTTTCCATTTCCATTTCCCTCCGTTGACATGCAACCCACACAACCTCCGCTTCGGCCTTCCTAAACAACTCGTCCGGCGTATTCCCAAGTGCCAACTCTATGATCATAGCTTTCTCCCCATCTTGCGACAAGTAGACCCACCCCCGGGCTTCCACTGTCCCTCGGAATTCTAAATCCATTAAACTTGGTGACAACCTCGTCAAACTGACATTAGTCCATATTGTTTTTATCCAAAGGAAAACATCCTCTCCTTCCAACATTACCGTTTGATACGCTGGTTCAAGGTCCGTCCACGTTCCATTTTCCGGCAGGACGACCGATACCCCATCCTTTACATCTACTGGCATTTTCGGGCCGCTAGTATAGATCGGGGAAGGCAACCATCGCGCCATCTTGTTTTCAGCACCCGACCCCTGTTTTCATAAAAAGACACCAACCGATCCTTTTGGTCAGGTCAACCCTTGTCCTAGATGAGAATTATTTCAGACCCCTCATCAAGGTCTCCCTACTTTACCTCCTCATTCCTAAGTACCTCCTATCCATAATTCCCTCGGTCGGCCATCCATGTGCCCACATTCTTTCTCTTGGTTTCATTCCAATTGACCTCTATCCTCCTTCCTTCCGATCATCTCTCACTCGTGTGGACTTAAAAGGGAAGGGGAATAGACTTAGAAGAGTGCTCGTCCAATAATCCACGCTCAATCAATCTTTACGGGGGGGGGGGAAACACATAAAAAAAATCAGACAGTCTTACATACGGGCCGGTTATCTCTTCACTGGCCATTCCCAATATGGCATCTCCGTTGGTACTATCGGTAAAGTTTTATCCCATACCTCAAGCGCAGCTCAACCGTCGCGAGCGCGGTACCCAGGTCCCGGCAAGACATTCGCTCTTTCCTCCTTACCCAGAATACCCCATCCCGTCTTGCCGCTTTGCACGTCCATACCGACACCGAGGGTTACCTCGAGTGCCTAAATACAGGGACAAAGTCAGCCGTCCGGGCATTCACTTTCATTGGTCCGACAAGAATCAGCCTTTCCCAAAACCATGCTACGAGAGGCTACTTATCGCCTCCGAGGCTCCGTCTTTGTCCGCATGCAGTGGTACTCCCTCCGCCAGCCAACAGGCTAAGCCCCGCCTGAGGAGATTTCACACCCCGCCCAGCAGATCATCGAGCCGAAGCCCGTCACCGCTCGAACGAGAATGCTTCTAATCAACCGACGTGACAAACTCCCGTCCGACAGCTCGGTGGCCTGACCTCCACATACGAAGACACGGCAGCCTACGAAAGGGAACGACGTTTCGCAACCCGCACTGGCCGGTGCAGACCAATCCTTTCCTTCCGGAAGGCAGGACGCTCGAATCCCATCATGCAAACACAAGTCCCAAGTGGGACACACATAGTACAAGTGCCATTCCCTTGGTGCATCCAGCGCTTCCTACCCATAACTCACATATTTTCTCTCAGGACAATGAGTGTCACTCCCCCCTACTTTCATAAATAGTGGTTGGTTCCTTCTCATGAGAATCTTCAAGGGTGAGCTAGTTTTCCTTGGAGTCTAGCAACTCCCTTCATTCCCCTTCTCTTCACTTATCTGTCCTTTTATAGGGTAGGATTGTTCTTTCTTGATGACCCGTTGTGTTCATATTGGTTCCTTCAATCATTAAAAAGGTGCAAAGTGCATGAGCCCGTCGGGCTCAAAAGAAGAAGGGGAAAACACTCATTCGGTCGGATCACTCCGCCATGGGATTTTCATTGGAACCAGGCCTAAGCCAAGCACCAACCGCCTGCCAGGTAACCGGAGCCCTTCTTTCATACAAAGAGGAAGGGTCGACCTGCGACTTGCCCAAGGCTTCCCTGGACTGGCGAACACCAGCACCGGACGAAGGAGGGCTAGAGCCATTCCTCAAAGGAACGATTGATCAAGTGCATAGCATGCATGTTATATCTCCAGGCCTAGCCATGCCATGCGCCCAGCCACCCTCAAATCTAATTTCTCACAAGGGAAAGAGCAAACACAAGTCCATTTTCCTTATCTCGGGTTGTGTACACGTCAATGCGTCGGGCGCCCCCGTCGGAATCGCAAGGGTCAATTTAACCCCATACCCGGCACCTCCACCATTTTTGTAAGGCCAAACCCCGGTAGACTTTCGAGCCTTCGTCGACCCCACTGCGGGTCCCAGTTGGCTCGGCCCACCCACACTCATGCTCAGGGCGCGGGCCATTCGTCCCAAGGTCACCCCCACCTAGTGCTTTGACATTGGGGATGTAACTCAGCCCTCACGCTGGGTGGTAGTCTCGCTGGTCGTTCCACAACGCTGATTTTTTTGATTCTTTGGGGTGTTCTCATGCAATTGCTCCTTCCAATACGCAGGCAGTCCAAGGATTCTTTGAGTGTTTCTCTTCTCTAGTACGTAGGCTAAGCGTCATCCTTAGGCCACGCACCATTTTCATAAGCAATGTGACTATTGGCGTCATCGGGGTATGGCGGAGCCGTCCTCCCCCTCGCCTTTGCGCATCCATCGGTCTCACAATTTCTTGTTTTCCTCATTGAAGTTGGCCCCTTAGTCCTTTCGGGGTCCTCGTATACATGCACACATAACATCAGAATTTTCTTAGTATGATTGCACTCTCATTTCCATTCCAAGTCCTCAAGCGCAAAAGTCATTCTCATGGGTTCGCTCTATGTCAAGGGTCCCATAGCCCCTTTGTCCCTCTTCCCTTTCACTCTCGGTGCCCAGTTCCTCTCGCCCCTATCCTGCTCAAGGCATTTCTAGCCACCACTCACCTGCACAATTCCACACAAGCAAGAGAATCCATACAATCCCCCGTTGGGGATCAACACATAGCCCTTCCCACATGCCTATCTTCTTAAATCCGTTGGCTGCTCTTTGTTTCCTGTTGATGCTCAATCAACCCATTCTCTTCTCATAGTCATGCAGTCGAGGAAATGGTTGAGTCAAATTGACCTCTTTCTCAACTTATGCTTCTTTCCGGATCCCGCCTTTCTCCCACTTTTTCAAACGTCCTTTCTCTTTTGCCTCCTTGGTGGCACAAGGGACCGACTATCCYCCCCTTGCCCTCTTTCTCCACCAAGTGAAGTCTGATTTCGTTTACCGTTCGTACCCTGGCAATGTTTCCAAGTGAGGGGAGAAGGGGTTAGTCATATGCCAAATGAGGGGAAGGGAGAGAGGGGGCAAGGTGAAAGGAGAGACAGAGTGGGGGAGAGAGAGGATAGATAGATAGATAGATAGATAGATAGATAGATAGATAGATAGATAGATAGATAGATAGATAGAGAGAGAGAGAGAGAGAGAGAGAGAGAGAGAAAGAAAGAAAGAAAAAAACAAGAAGAACTCCTAATCCAATCAGCTCCCTGTAGCAGCAACCAAACGTCGATCACCCATCCCATAGTGAGAGATTGAATAAGTATATCTTGGAATAACTTGACAAGGATAGGTTAGACCAATGGAAAACACATTATTCATAGGAAAGGAGATCATCAAAGCAAGATCCGAAGTATGAACTCGACAATGAGAGGCCAGACTAAAGGAAGCACATGCACAACGGACAAGAGATCAACAAGGTAAAGATCTGGAATATGAACTTGACAATGTGAGACAAAACTAGTGGAAGCACATGCACAAAGGATAAGAAATCAACTGAGTGAAGATCCGGAACATGAACTTTAACAAGGTGAGACTAGACTAGTGGAAGCACATGCACAAAGGACAAAAGATCAACAGGGTAAGGATCCGGAACATGAACTTGACAAGGTGAGACTAGACTAGTGGAAAGCGCATGCACAAAGGCCAAGAGATCAACAAGGTAAAAATCCGGAATACGAACTTGACAATGAGAGACTAGACTAGTGGAGGCACATGCACAAAGGACAAGAGATCAACAAGGTGAAGAACCGGAACATGAACTTGAGAACTAGAGGCTAGACTAGTGGAAGCACATGCACGAAAGAGAACAGATCAACAAGGTGAAGATCCGGAACATGAACTTGACAATGAGACTAGACTAATGGAAAGCACATGCACAAAAGAGAACAGATCAANGAAAGCACATGCACAAAAGAGAACAGATCAACAAGGTGAAGATCCGGAACATGAACTTGACAATGAGACTAGACTAATGGAAAGCACATGCACAATGGAGAAACTATCAACAAAATAAAGATCCGGACCATGAACTTGACAATTAGAGACTAGACTAGTGGAAGCACATGCACAAAAGAGAAGATCAACAAGGTGAAGAACCGGAACATGAACTTGACAATGAGACTAGACTAGTGGAAGCACATGCACAAAGGACAAGAGATCAACAGGGTAAAGATCCGGAATATGAACTTGACAATGAGACTAAACTAGTGGAAAACACATGCACAATCGAAAAAAGTTCAACAAAGTAAAAATCCGGAACATGAACTTGACAATTAGAGACAAGACATGTGGAAGCACATGCACAAAAGAGAAGATCAACAATGTGAAAAAAACGGAACATGAACTTGACAACTAGAGGCTAGAGTAGTGGAAACACATGCACAAAGGACAAGAGATCAACAGGGTAAAGATCCGGAATATGAACTAGATAATGCGAGACTAGCCTAGTGGAAGACACATGCACAAAGGAGAAGAGTTCAACAAAGTAAAAAATTCAAAACATAAATTTTACAATGAAGACTAGACTAGAGAAAAACACATGCACAATGAGTAGATGTCAACAAGGTAAAGATCCGGAACATGAACTTTGACAATGAGACTAGACTAGTGGAAAAAACATGCACAATGGAAAAGAGATCAACTTAAGCAAAGATCCGGAACGTGAACTTGACAAAGGAGAGAATAGCCTAGTGGAAGCATATGCACAAAGGGAAGAGATCAACTAAATAAAGATCCAGAACATGAACTTGACAAAGGAAGAGGTTAAACTAGTGGAGGCACACGCACAAAGAGAGCAGATTAACTGAGCAAAAATCCGACATTTGACAAAGGGAGGTTAGACTAGTGGAAAGTACATGCACAAAGAGTAGGTATCAACGAAGCAAAGATCCGACACATGAACTTGACAAAAGGAAGAGGTTAGACTAGTGGAAGCTCATGCACAACGAGTATGGATCAACGAAGTAAAGATCCTGAATATGAACTTGTCAAAAGAGAGACTAGACTAGATGGAAAACACTTGCACATAGACTATGGATCAACGAAGTAAAGATCCGGAATATGAACTTGACAAAAGAGAGACTAGACTAGATG